TTGTGAGGGGTTGTTTTGCCTGCCCGTCCCAGCCCCTCGGCTCGCCCTCACCTCAGCCACCTTGCTTGGGAGATATGGGGACCATTTTCCCATTCGGGGTGGTGGTTGTTCAGGCTTCCCCCATCCTTTGCTTCACATCTGAGAAACTCATGGGGAGCGTGTTTGCAGGTGCCGGGACTCCCCCGGCCCTGTTCCCCTCTGGACTGGCTCACCTCCTTCCAGCGGGCGATAAGCCAGCCAGACACAAAGCTCTGCGAGCACACGGCGGGGCACAACCAGCTTACTTGCAGAGGCATTTGGCTGCTTCCCCCTGTCCCAGTGGGGATCCAAGCTCTTGCCCCTAAACTCCGACGTCAGGCTTGCTGAGAAGCTGCTTTCTGGAGCTGTAGGCACTGAACTGCCTCTGCTGCAAAGCACATCTTTCCCTGTGGCTGTCTTTGCTTTCTCCCTCGTCTTGCGCTAGTTTGCAAAGCTAATACCTCAGGGGTCTCTGTTCGTGCATGTCTGTGTCCTGTGTCATCCTTGGAGTGTTGGTTTTTTTTTTTTCTGGGTCCACATGGTTTCTCTCCCTTTCCCTTGTTCCTCCTCTCATCGTTCACTTCTGTCTTTAAATCAAACTGCACGTGACAAAACCGAATGATCTCAGGTTTAAAACTGAACACAAAGCAGAGGCGTGAGGAGCTGCAGTCGTGCGAGGAGGGGCTGCTCGCTTCAGTTGGCTGCTTCCCCAACCACCTCTGTGTCCACAGTTGAGGCGAGTCTCCCCAGAGGCTCCTTGCTTCAGGCTGGCTTTAGTTTTTCTGGTTTTCCATGGGGCCATTTGGTGAGATGCTGGGGACCCCCGTCTGCTCCTGTCTGGTTCCTGAGGTGTGTCAGAGAGGGACGGGGTGGCTGGAGAGCCAGGGACCACCTGCCTCTCTCCCCACGTCACTTTTGATGAGGACGAGAGATTTTGTAGTCATCCCTCAAAAGCCCACTGCCACCCATCATTGCCTCCACCAACCACCTCAAGCCAGCTCAGTGTTGCCAGCCTGAACATTTCTCCCTTCTGGCCATGAAAGGACACTATTTTCTAAGCTCCCTTTTTAGATTCCAGTAAGCATTTGGGTCCATCCCATGAGCCAGGCAGCTATTCAACAGCTGCACTCGCAGCAGAGTCTCCTAAGTGAGCATCAATGTCAAGTCCAGGGAGGGAGGGAAAAAAGATTTCGTCCTCCCTCCGATAAGCCCGCTGAGCCCAGGGTTAGTGTCGCCTGCCTCCTGCCCAAGCAGCACTGCTGGTCCCCCTTTCCCTCCTGCTGCCCTTGGTGGTGGCATCTCTTCCCAGATGTGCCAGGGGTCATCTCCTGCAGATCTGTGCTCCATATTTCTCAGTTCCTGCCCATTCTGTAGTCCTCCAGGGTTGATGCCAGCATGGATCAACTGAGCTGGGGTCAGGCAAGTTGCTGGCAGGAGCTGGTTGGGTGTAGCTCTGGACAATAGAGGGGGGCTAGATGACTTCCCAAGGGGTTTAACAAAAAAGGACAACGGGTGTCAGCACAGCCAGGTGGGGAGATGAGGCAAGATGCTCACGAGCTCTCATGTAACTCATCCCATTAGCTGACATGGTGCATTACGAGCGCAAAAAAGCAGCTCGAGTAAGTCAGGGTAGAGAGGGCACATGTTGTAAGTGAGGCTCTGAATGTCTGCAAGGAGACAGATACGTGGTTTGCTTTTTGTCATCTCCACTCTGCCATCCCCTGGGTACTCCTCAGCCATGTTTGAGGCTTTAGGCCCTATGGACTTGTCTCTCCTCTGAAACCAGAGCAAAGAGAAGTAGATTTTAAGATTAGTAGACCATAACTGCCAAAAGATATTAATGACCTACCTCTGCAGCCTTATTTTGATGTACTTTGCATTCATCCTTCCCCTTTACATTGGACATGTGCACTAGAAGCCCTCGTGTGCAATATTTTAAGGCTACATCCAGAAAATATGACTTGCAGGAGCATCCCTGCCTGAGTGTCTCTTGTCAATGCTGACCCAAAGCCATCAGGCTCACCAAGTGGCTTGCAATTAACTTAGAAGACTTTTCAAAATCAGACACTGCCTAGTAGACCACTTTGTCCATGAATCAGAGAGTTGTGAGTTATTGTGAGGACGGATGTGTTGACTGGTAGCCCTCCTCATCATCTGTCAGCCAAGTCTTTTTATGGGCTCTCACAGCCAGACAACCCAGCCCAACGCCTCACTGGAACCAAAAATCATCTTTCCATGCTGATCTGATGAGGGTACATTTGTTCATAGGGACCCACAGTGGCAGAATTGTGAGCAGAGAGGAAAGATGTCTCCTTTCAAGGGAGGAACCAACAAAGCCGTTGAGTGCCTGATGGTCGTGGCAGTGGCAATGGCTGAGCTTTCTACCACAGGACGGACGGAGCAAACCACAGCTTTCCTTCAGGCTAGAAGGGACATTGTGCCCTTCCCTCTAGCCCCTGCCTGTCCCCAGGGCTGAGCCCCCTGGCACCTTCCCAGCCGCCTTTTTGGCAGCTGAGCAAAGCCAGCAGGAGGGCAGCCAGGTTGGCAACACTGAGCCAGAGGCTTTGCTTGGAGCAGGCTCGTCCCTGGCCTCAGCAGCAGCATCCCCAGCCCCTGCTGCCTTCCCAGCCCTTCTCTTTGTCTGCTTGTTTCTTTGGATGTCCATCCCTGTTACATCTGCCCCTTAGGACACATTGCCCCCTAGAACCCTCTCCCGCTGTCCCCTTCCCCCTCCCATCTTTAATACTAATGGTAATAAGCTATCAGTGTTGTCATTGCAATCTATGAATGATAGATTTGAGTATTTATGATTATTATTATTATGATTATTATGGTTATGATTCTGTACTCTTTTGCTTCTTACTCTTTGTATGTTGCTCTTTGTTTCTCTGTTGTGAATAAATGCAAGGCCCCATCACACCTTCTCTCTGCTCCACACAGCCCGGCTGGGGCTGCACTAGGCACAGCTCCCAGCTGTCCCGAGCCCCAGGAGGCAAACGCTTGTCAGAGGAGCTGGAGGGTGGTGCTTCCTAAGGGTATAAAGGCACCCAAACCCAGGGCAGCTCCATTCTCTTAATG